GTCTAAATAATAACTTGATATTTTTTGAGTTGTAATGAGTCATGGTGATTAGTTTCACTATTTGATTTTTTTCAAATCAAAATGGAGGTTGATATCATGTTAGACTTCAATATTTATTATACATTATTCGGTTATAAATAAGAAATGGTAATGACTTTAAAGAGAAAGTTATGTAACATGCTTTAAATTTATTATAGTTGCAATCTCACCTAGTTTGTAACATTTTCAATTTTCTACAAAACTTGTTTTATTTTGATTTTAGTTTTTACAATAATTTATTATTTACTGAAACTCAAGAAAAATGAAACAAAAACAAGAATCCTGTTGAGACCGTTTGTATAGCTTCTATTAAAAATTGATCTAAAGGGAAAAGGTTTACAATTGATCACTTTCTTGCTGAAAAAATTCATTATTACACCATTTATACCATTATTTGATGCACTGAAAATAATTCTGGGCATGAGAATTTCCCTGGAAGTGGTAGGATTGTTAAAATAATGACAAAAAGAAACATTGAAAGACTTAAAGCAATGTTTGACTACAAAGACGACATATCACAAACACAAGTAGCTCAAAAATTTAGGTACACCCATATATATTATAGCAAAACATTAAAAATAAAGTCCTTAACTAGGCCAAAGAAGAAGAAGAAGATTCCATTAAGAACTTGTGACCAAATAGAGACAGCTGGAACAAAGTGCGGTAGACTGTATCAAATTTCTGCCAATAAATTGTTAATCCTTGACAACAAATCCTATTCTACATTTAACCACTCTTTGAATAATGAAACTGATATTTGCTATTCAAGTGATGTTTCTCAAACACCAACAAGTGTCAAATTCAACACCACTGCAAAATATGAAAAGAAATTACTTTTTTGGATTCATTCTCCAGATAAAGGAATGTCTTCGCCAATATTCAGAGAAAGTGGCTTTGCAATCAACCAAGAAGAATCAACCAATCTACAAAAATGATTGTATCAAGAATAAACTAATTCCATTTATCAAAAAGCATCATTCTGATAACAAATACATATTTTGACCTGATCTGGTATCGTCTTATTACACAAAATCTGTACAAAACTACATAAATGAGAAAAAGATCATTTTTGTCAAAAGAGAAGATAACCCTGCAAATGTGCTTGAATATCATTCGATTGAGGATTTTGGATGTATTCTCAGTATTCATATATTTATTTTACAAAGAAAAAGTGTATGAGAATAATTGGAAAGCTGATAATCTCAAGAAATTGCACAAGAGAATAAAGTATTGCCTTTCCAAAATGAAAAAATCTTGTACAGTGTCTTTCTGAGTCATATTTTATTCCGATTAGATTCTGTAAGATGCAATGGTTTGATTGAAAAAAATTAATATGCAAATAAATTGACCACCTAAAATACTATTTTTTTTCTTTTTTAAATTAAGTTTTTATCTCTTAAACCAAGAGAGTTATGCCCCTTCAAAGTTATTATAATTTTTTAGTTATAACCTGACATGTTGTGTTCATATTAAAAAGAATGATAAAAAAATTTTAATGCAGGAAAACTTGAATATATTTATGTTTACAATTATTATTATTTTTTTAATTACAAGTGTCAAACTAAGTGATAGCGAGTTGTGATATCTGGAAAAATATCTGGTCTTCAAAATTTTAGTTTATGCAAAACTTTTTTGTTTTTAAGAGGCAAATTAACTTAAATTTGTTAACAAAAAAGTTATAAAAAAACAAAACAAAATAACAAACAAAATTAACACTCTAGTGCTTGTTTATTTTTGTAGTTTTGTTTATTTTGTATAATTGCATTATTAAAGTAATAACTTTATAATAGTGTATATATACTATATAATAATATAACTTTATAATAGTGTATATATATAACTTTATAATAGTATATATATTACTTTTGTAACGCACTTATAATTTTTATAGTTCATTCTTTTTTCAAGTAAACCCAAATTTTGTTTTAAGTAGAAAAGCCCAAATTTAGTATAAGTTGAACACCCACTCTGTTTCTTGAGAAATAAAGTGGGTATTCAAATTATATTAAAAAAACTGTAGGAGCTTTAGGAATTTAGCATTTCAAAAAATGTTACTAATGGTCTATAAAAACATGCGTTAATTTAAAATCAACCAATAAAAATTTTTTATAAATTTTTTACTGGTTACTTTTAACATTAATGCACATTTTTATGGCCCATTACGAACATTTTTCAAAATGCTGAACTTTTTATAAAGTACGTATTTGTTTAATTTCCTAAAATTATGACTTATATTGTAAAGTTGTAACTTTATGAACCTAATTATTTTTGGGAATTATAATGTATTTATTATTACAAAATTTCTTTTATTTTTATTATAGAATAATTCACGAAGATCATCCACTCATTCCCAAAGTTCTTCTTCATCTCAAGAAGAATCTAAATTAAAGATTAAATGCTCAGAAATTTTAATTGGTGGTACACAGGCACAATTTGGAGCTGCCAGCCACTTTTATAAAAGGTTTTGTTTTACAATTTTGAATCACAATTTGTTTGCAAATCGTGATTCGCTAAAATGCTTTTCACACCTTTATTTGCATTTAGTTTTTTCTTTAAAAAAATATTTTTGGGATTACTTTTTTTTCTTTTTTTTCTCTAACATTTTTGGCTGTTTTTAAAAGAAATGTTTTTGTCTAAGCTTTTATTAAAGGCCATGAGTATGTCATGCTAAATTTATCTTTTGAATAGAAGTATGATCATTTGCCTACTTGCGTGGGAATTTTCATTCAACATAAAATGCTTTTGATTTTAAAATATTTTAAATCTCTGTGGAAGTCAATGACGTTTTAAAGTTATATTTAATTTGATTTACTAAATGGATAAAGTACATCAAAGTTAATTTATCTATAAACTAAATCCAAGCAGCAAGTTCAGTTAATGCAGTAACTAACAGTTAGGATTAAATTTACTTAATATACTCGAAAGACTAGCAAAAGATTAAAGCCATACAAATGTTTCCATTTATATCTTATATGTTGTTAACACATAATATAAGTAAAATTTATTAACTATTAACTAAAAAATTTTTAACTATTAACTAAAAAATAAGTAACTATTAAAACTATTAACTATAAAACTATTAACTAAAAAATAAGTAAAATTTATTAATCTATTAACTAAAAAATTTTTTAAAAAGAAATCTCAAATAGAATATGAAAAACTTTATACCATTTTTTAATATTTTTATTTTATTTAAAACGATATCAAGATTAAACATTTTACAATAAATATGCAAGTTGGCTTTAGGAGTTTAAACAAATCAATTTGTACTAAAGAGTTTATTCTTCTAAAATTCTCTTATTCAAATATTTTTGAAATTTGAAATTTGAAAAAATATTTAAAAGAATTTTAACACTCATTGGTTATTAATTTAATTGTAGCGGTGTCCATTTTACGCAGTTTTAAAAGTAGAATAATTCTATTGCAAACAGTGATTTAAAACAGTGATTATTGCAAATGATAAACCAAAAATTAAATTAGACAAAATTTGAATAAAATAAATAAATTGTTTTAGTTCTGTTCAAAAAAATTTTTTTTCAAAAAAATAATTCAAGGGACGACTAAATAAGTGCGAATTTCATAAATGCGAACTGGCACAAGTGCAAATGACATAAGTGCACTTTTGGTGCACTTATGCCAGTTCGCACTAATTACAACAGTAAATTATGCTATTTTAAACTCCGCTAAACAAGAAAATTATAAGATAATATTTAAATATGATAGATATTATGTTTAAAAAATAACAATTACAAACTGATGTAGAAAAGCTACAATTTTAATGCAACACCCCCCCCCCCCTCCAATATATATATATATTCCAAAAGTAAAAAAAGTACAAAAAAAGTACTTTTTGTTCTTTTTTTTATTATTGTTTTGACCTAAACCAGCAATTTCATATATTTCGAGTGCATTTAACAGCACTTCTGTTATTACATATATAAATATATATAAATGTATATATATATATAAATATATATAAATGTATATATATATATATATATATATATATATATATATATATATGTATATATATATATATATATATGTATATATATATATATATATATATATATATATATATATATATATATATATATATATATATATATATATATATATATATATATCAGGCTTGGTCGGGAAGCGGGAGCGATCGCTCTCGATTGCTGACCACGTAAATAATATTTAGTTGCGAAAAGCTGGCCAGATTTTTTAGTCGTTTTGAGAACATTTTAAAAGCAAAAAAAAAAAGCGCTTAAGATTAATTGGACCGATAAGAGACAATTACAAAAAAAAAAAAAAAAAAAAATTAGGTAAATAAAATATCTTTTAACGCGAAAAAACTTAAAATTAAATAAATTACGTTTAAAACAAATATTTTCAAAATATCGCTCTTTTATAATTTTTTTTATAAAATTAAATGATGTTTTTTATATAAAGTAACAACTTACGATTGTTTAAAGAGGAAACAAATATTCTTTATTTAACAAAGTTTGCAAGTTTTAGTTTAATTTTTTTATTTTATAAATAATAAAGTTAATTTTTTCAATACCTATTTTATGTTTCGCGTAGTTTGAAAAGTTTAACATATTTGAGGCATTTCTTCTTAGTAAGATAAACAAATGAAATAATTAAATCATTGAATTACTATAGAAATTAAATTAACAATATAGAAATCAACTTAAGGTTAAAAATACTTCATGACGAGGAAGCGAAATTGCTTCACAATATCGCTGGTGATGTTTAGTGAGTGGGCTTTTTAATTTTAATTAGTATTTAAAGCAGAAAAATGTATAACGAGTTTTTAGAATGGCAACTTAGGCGAAAATAATTAGAGTTAGTAAACCAATATCTAGTAACTTTTCTTTATATCTAATTATTTGCTATATATATTTGTGTTTTGTCGTGACCTCAGGCGTGGTGCTTGTTTATCTGCGAGTTACTTTGTACGCGTTGTTTGTGTTTAGTAACTAGAAACTTCTTATATGTTTGTTACGTAATTAGTTTTATTAACTATAACGATTAAAACTTCATTGAAAACGCAATTATTTTTGTAAGTCTTTGTTTGAATCGTAAAAATTGCTTTAAAAGATACATTACGATAAAAAACAGATAAACAAAATTAAATTTACATAAAGAATACATACTTTTTAAATAAAAAATAAGAATATAATAATAAAATCTATAATTTATAATAAACTTTTAACATTTTGACAATTTAATATATATTTAAAACTTTTTATTTTTGTAAACAAATAATATATTTATTCTTAAAACAAGTTATGCTAGAAATCTCCAAACGTAACAAATCGTTTCTAAAAACATTTCAACAGATTACTCTTCTTAATTTCGCTAAGTCAGCGTATTTTTTGAACCAATAGAATTAGTTTCTTTGTTACTTTGGCGGGTTTTTAGTGTTCGCGAATATTCTTTTTATTCTTTCGCACAAAGATGCTTTGAGAACATTCAAGTTTATTATGTTTCCATTTATGTCCGTAAAATAAAATTTTTTTGTTTCGTACATAAACTTAAATGTTCTCAAAACGACTAAAAAACCTGGCCAGTTTTTCGCAACTAAATATAATTTCCGTGGTCAGTATTCGAGAGCGATCGCTCCCGCTTCCCGACCAAGCCTGATATATATATATATATATATATATATATATATATATATATATATATATATATATATATATATATATATATGAAGAGTGTATTTTCAAAATGCGGTATATCCATTTTTGAGGTATTGAGATAATTGACTTTTTTCGCCACACCAACATGTCTCGTATATTTGGAAAAATTATTGTTTCTTTATGTATATATACATAAAGTATATTATATAATGTAAATAAATAAAATATTATTAAATAAATTTTTTTTTTTTTTTTTGTCAATAAGTTTGCATTTATTTTCAAAATACTGTATACCCAATTAAAGCTTGTTAGCAAAATGCGGTATATCCATTTTATAAAGATGTTATGGAAAGTTTTTAAACTTTAAAAGACCTGAATAAGTTTTAATGATTAATTTTAGTTAACATATTGAACAAATATGTGTATTTAATGTTTGGTCATTATATTTTATTGATAATGTGAATGTAAACAATGTTTTATTAAAGTAATGTAAACTATTACATTTCACAATTCGCAATTGTAAATTTATATTTGTTTCGGAGAGTTAAATATGGACAATAAACAATAATATTTTTTTAGTGTTGTGTAGTTGTAACAATGATGATCACTATTTTTAAGTCTCCATAGAACTAATGGACAATTAATATAACATAAAAGTCATCGTTATATTTTTGAACGAAATAAAATTTTAAAAATAAAATACTGCAATAGCCTCATTTTATTTGCAACAAAGCAATAGTCGGTTTAACAAAAAATAAAAAGGAAGTATTATTATTGAATGCTTTCCATTAAAAAACAGGTAACAAATATTTTAAACTTATTAATTTAAGTTGCCTTTTTAATATATTTTCTATCATTATTCCATAATTCGTTCAGTTAAACAAACAAAGCATGGTAGTTTAAACAAACACTAGAATTAAGAAATGCTTTTCTTTTCTTTTGTTTCATACATCATATCTTTTTTTCTATGTGAAATAGGATATTAGGTAACGCATTAATCTTGTCCATCGCAATCCGCCATTTCTTTAACGCAACTTTAAAATATTTGCGCTTGCGCAGAAGTAATATACATTTGCCACGGATTGGTCAAAATTAAATACCGCATTTTGAAAATAAATGTTTTTTAGAAGTAAAAAAATATTGGGTTATACTTCGTTTAGCATATATTCGGACACAATGTCTGCTAGGTCCTTATAAACTAAAAATAAACCACACAATTTCTAAAAAATTTTTAAAATGGCGTTAACCGCGTTTTGAAAATAAACTCTTCATATATATATATATATATATATATATATATATATATATATATATATATATATATATATATATATATATATATATATATATATATATATCAGCCATCAGAATCAGGGTTGGCATTCAGCAATGCTGACCTAACTTCCGACTTAAAAGTGTTTCAAGTCAGCAAAAAATTGACGACCTTGTTTCTAAGTTTTATGGTAATCTCTTTGTGTCAAATTTTTTTTGCCAACCTTTAACAGTTTGAGGCCAGCATTAAATTGCCAAACTAATTTTTCCTAATTTCGTTAGTAGAAATATATATATATATATATATATATATATATATATATATATATATATATATATATATATATATATATATATATATATATATATATATATCAACTAGAGTCTTAGAAATTAATGCAAACGTCATTGGGAATGTAGTCTCATATTTCCTTGATTTTACTGAATACATCAATTTGATTTATAGACTTAATGTCTTTCATTTGATGTCAAACAATTTCCCATAAATGTTTAATGGTATTTAAGTCAAGTGTTGGGATGTCCCCTCCAAAAC